CCCTCTCGATCTCCTCGCGTCTCGGCAAGGCGAACCCGCCGACAATCGGCCTTAATCCGGTCCCACTCTTGGCTTTCCGAGGTCGAGGCCGTCTGCTTTAGTCCACTTCGGAACAGTTCCTCCCAACATTCTGCTATAACGTTCATGCCCAACAATGCGCGATGGGTTCCTAGGCAGGCGTCACGAACGATCACCACCCCCTTCTGGGGGACAACAACTCCATGGATCTTCAAGTCAGTCACCAGGTATCCCACGTATGGGATGTCCAGACCGTTGGCTCCCCGTAGCGTCAACCAGGGGGCTTCCGAGGTGGGACAGTCCTGGCCCTTAAATAGCTCTCGCGACAGGCTCTCAGAGAACAGCGTAACTTGTGACCCAGTGTCTAACAGGCACTGTACTTCCAAGCCGTTGACCTGGGCCACTACAATGGGGCAATGCCCCACCAAACATACTCTGGACTTCGTAACCAATAGGGGGTCTACCATGGGAGTCCCGGCCACTTGACCCACAGTGGCCGGCAACTCTAAAAATCCTCCTGTGATCCCCGGCGGGAGCGGCACTGGCGGAAGTAGTGACCCGGCTCTCCACAACCATGACAAATGGGGCGTCCCTGTTCGTCCCACCTGAACCGTGGCCCCATTGGCCTAGCTGGGCGTCGTTCTGGGAATCGGCTCCCAGCTGAATAGGTCCGCTCTCGGAGCAATGGACTGGAACGTTCACGCCGGAGCTCTTCTCTGAAGGAATTGGATAGCTCGGCCAGCTGTTCCTGGACGTCCTTTTTCAACTCCTCTCGTAACGCACGTCTCCATTCCGCTTCAACCGGGCGTGGGGGGTCGACGGGTGCACTCGCAGCCATGCACGTTGAGGGCTCTATACTCTCCGTGTGGTCCCGTTCCAAGGCCAAAGCCTCTTGCCTCAGTTCGTCAAAAGACGAGTCCGGGTTCCGGCGGACTTGTATTCGCAGGCTTTGGCGTACGGGGCCTTCCCGTAGCCCCAGGAGGAATTGGTCTCGCAGCAGACTCTCTTCACCCCCTAGACCATGGTCTTGCCTTCCTCTTAGCCTAGCGAACTGCTCTCTTAGCTGTAGCGTGAATGCCCGGATGGTCTGTCGCGGCCCTTGTTTGCAGTTGAAGAACTGTGTTCGCAGAACGGCTACGGGAGTGGTATCGCCGTATTGCCCCGAAAGGAAGTCAAAGATAGCTCGAGCCGTGGTACGGTTCGCTTCTGGCGCTGCTCGCACTTCCCTCAGTGCTTCTCCTTCCAAGGAATTTAAGATGAACTGCACTCCCTGAGGGGCGTCCAAACCTTGGAGCCCGACTAGATATTCGACCTGGGCCCTCCACGTCGACAGACTCATCTCCGATCCCGCACCTTGGTACTTCTGGGCCCACGGGGCTCCCATGAATATGGGCATGGCTTGTCTTCGTGCTCCCGGTGCCTCTTCATCTTCCATAACGGCTTCTGGTGGCTCAACTCAGTGGTATCCTGCCGACTATGCCAATAATCTGTCACAGGTCGGGAGGGTCGACTGGGTCTACCCCCTCCCTTTAGAATGTACCACTGAGGAGCAAACCAGAAACCAGGCGGACAAGGAAAGTAAAAATGTAACAGACTTTATTGATTAAAAGAATTTGTAGATCCTAATTAAAACTCCTCCTTCCTCCTCAGCCTCCAGTGGCCGCCGGGACGTCAGCCGGACAACAGGCGAGGACTCGGTCCACTCAACCCCTCAGACTTTTCGGATGCCAAGGCTCTCGGCTATGGAGGGGACGTGGATTGGACAGCAGGTAAGTACTCTAAGCACGGCTTATCCTTCTCGGGCTCTAAGTAGAATGTAATCTTCTCGATCTCTCAAGTGCAGGAAGTTTACAGCGGGGAAGAGGGGCGTCGACTGGACAGCAAGTAGGTACTCCAGGTACGGTTGGTTCTTCCCTAGACAGTGAGTGCAGAGGGCTTACAGCTGTGGAGAGGCGTCGACCAGACAGCAGGTGAGTATTTCGAGTACGGTTGGTTCTTCCCAGTATAGCAGGTGCAGCAACTTACGGCTGTAGAACGGCGTCCACCAGCCGGAGGTGAGTATTTCGAGTATGGTTGGTTCTTCCCTATACAGGGGATGCAGGGAGCTTACAGCTGTAGAAAGGCGTCGACTAGACAGCAGGTGAGTGTTTCGAGTACGGTTGGCTCTTCCCTGTACAGTAGGTGCAGAAAGCTTACGGCTGTGAAAGGGGCGTCGACTGGACAGCCAGTAGGTACTCCAAGTACAATTGGTTCCTCCCAGTATAGCGGATACAGAAGCTCACGACGGTGAAAGACGTCGACCGGACAGCAAGTGGGCACTCCAAGTACAGTAGGTTCTTCCCCATACAACGGGTAACGGAAAGTTTCGGAGGGCTGGCGAGAAGGCTGACTGGGTGGTCAGATCGGCAAGTCCGGACAATCGGCCAGCTCCTGGAGTCAGCAGGCCTTAGGGGTAACACCCCGAACAGCAAACACTGGATTTCCTTCGCTCACCACGGCAGTGTTGATAACACAGAATGCAAGCGGCTTTAGATGGAGGACACTCAGAACAGCAGATAACTGGATTTCCTCCATTCTCCAGGACAGCATCAATGATGAATCAGAACACAGCAGGCTTGGAATGTACAACACTCAGAACAACAGATAACTGGATTTCCTCCGTTCTCCAGGACAGCATCAATGACGAATCAGAACACAGCAGGCTTGGAATGTACAACACTCAGAACAACAGATACCTGGGTTTCCTCCACTCTCCACAACAGTGATGATGGAACAGAATACAAGTGGCTTTGGATGGGGGACACTCAGAACAGCAGATAACTGGATTTCCTCCGTTCTCCAGAACAGCATCAATGATGAATCAGAACACAGCAGGCTTGGACTGTACAACACTCAGAACAACAGATACCTGGGTGTCCTCCGCCCTCCACAACAGTGATGATGGAACAGAATGCAAGTGGCTTTAGGTGGGGGACACTCAGAACAGCAGATAACTGGATTTCCTCCGTTCTCCAGGACAGCATCAATGATGAATCAGCACACAGCAGGCTTAGAATGTACAACACTCAGAACAACAGATACCTGGATTTCCTCCGCTCTCCATAACAGTGATGATGGAACAGAATGCAGCAGCTTTAGACGGGGGACACTCAGAACAGCAGATAACTGGATTTCCTCCGCTCTTCAGAACAGCATCAATGATGAATCAGAACACAGCAAGCTTTAAATTCCACCGTCACTTAATCTCTTCCTCAGCAACTCCGAACTGCAACACAGGGCAAGGCCGATGGGCACGTGACAGAATTCGGTATAGTAAGCATGCAGTAACTTCACTTCAAACACACACGGTGGGGCACAGCATCAACACACGTCACTCTCAACCACTCTGTGAAATATAAGGCCACAGCCCACCTCCTTGTTCTGAACAGCGGGGACAGTAAGACGGAAGAATATATAGCAACCTCAATCATGCATCACAACAGCTGTCTTCTCATTACGGTGTCTAGACTCCTTTTCCTAGATCGCTTCTCTTCATATACAGTGTCTTTGTGTATAAATCACATACCGTACGGCCAGTAAAAGGTTTGCACTTATCTCTACCCAAGAAGGGGACTTGATATTTCCAAGGCGACTTCTCCTCTGCTTCTCTGTTCCACACCACCCAATCCTTCGTAGCGGATTCCTTTCCGCGGGTTGATCTCACCAGCCGATTTGTCCCACAGAAACTCTCAGCCCACCTCGACGGAACAAAGTCAGGACACAGCACCCGAACACCAAACACAGAACACTGCACTGAACTGAACTCAACTCCCTGGTCTTTCAAAGCTTGGTTTTTATCTGTTCCAAGCGCTGTGTGTCCCAATCATCAAACAGCCCCTTGATGCGCCGCACCTGCTGTCACTCTGTCATCAGCGGCTGCTGTTGCCATGGTAGCGATGCATACAAGGCTGGCTGGGTGTTCCGTTGAAAGTGCTCCGGGTGGAAACATTCCTCCGTGGAATATATAGTTCCGCTGCTGGTTCGTCACCTTGTGACACTTTCAAACACCCCACTGCTTCTTATTGAAGATGCTTATTTTCCATGCAGTTGCATCTCAGGTTTGTGTCCCAGTGGAGTCATTGAAATCCCAGAGCTTAGCTTCTCTCCTTCCCCTCTGTTTGAGAGTTTTCCTGAATTCATATAAACAAATCCCACCACTACAAAATGCACTATACCTGTCAAAAGTTTGGACACGTCTACTTATATTTTTACTTTTATTCTAAAATGTTGCAAATAGTAGTCATCAGAACTATAAAATAATACAAATGAGTGAATTAATGGCTTCTGGGTCACCCTTTTCTAGATTCCAAAACCAGCTCTACTCTTACTCAGCCCACTTCATGAGGTGCATCCTGGGATGCTTTTACATTGGAAATTAAAGGAGTTTCCGTGTGACACTTGTTGACTGCATTTCCTTCACTATCAACTCAAACTCCAAGAAATTCATACCTAGGCATAATTTGCATTTGTCTGCAAAACTAATTTCAAGCATTTAATCATAAACGTTTACTTCGAAAACTTCATATCACGACTGACAAACTGATTTTTGCTTATGCCCCGATAAGAGAGTGCAAGTTGTTTTGCATGGTCATTGTTAAACACTAGGTGGCCCTATTGTCTTATATCACTACTGAGTGCTTGCTTGTGCAATAGTCTTCATTCATGAGAAAAACACAACACATTTTTTAGTAAGCTTTATTGATTTTCCATTACTATTTAGATTCCATGTATAACTGTTAGATACACAAAAGGGCCAACATTTATTATTATTTTTTTTTGCAAGTTAAGACATGAGTTATGCAACACATCCGAGAGCCTGTCAGACATTTTAAAGAGATAATAATGCATATTATTTTTTATAATTCAGTTTAATCTTTAGAACCAATTCTTTCTTCAGTCTTCAAGTTAAAGCAAGCTCAAATAAACTCTATTGAGATAAAGAAAATCTGTCTCTTGTTACTCTATTATAATCTTTGCTCTACTATGTTTCCATGGAGTGCCTAAATCTATTCATTGTTTCATTTTAAGCGTTGTGGATGCTTGGTTGTTTTCTCCATGCATGCTTTCAGATGTCTTTGCCACACTCGGGACACAGGATGTCATCTCTCTCGGTGAGGAAACCTCTGCCCACCAGAGACACTGAGCACTTTTTGCAGTTGAAACAGTCGTTGTGCCACTGGCGTTCCTCAAAGGAGATGTACTTGCTTCCTCCGAGTCCTGCGTGCGATGACAAACATGTTATGAGTACTAGTAAAGCAGATGTAGCTGTGTTCCAGAGAAGTTCAAGGAAAGCCGGTAGATTTGAACTCTTTGAAACAGGGTTGAGCAAAATTCTGAATTTAAGAAGTGCCTCCAATTCAGTTTTTAAAAAAAAAATTTAATTGGCCATGTGCCACAGGATGTTGAATTGGAAGAACAAGATGAGGAATTTATGGTGAGTTTTGCAACTTTAGGGAACATTCTGGTCCAGTTAATTTATTGAATATATTGAGAAAATGTATTATTAAAATTATCTGTGATTTAGATCGAAATAGGCCCGTTCAAATGGTTTGGCCAATATCAAATAATAGATAGTTGACCCTTGATAGTTTTGTATTTATAGAAATGCAGTTGTGATGTGTGTTGCATCATGCATTGACGTATTTAAGTGAGAAAGCAAAATGAAGATTGTTTCACATGTCAGTGTTTTAGTGAAGGTTTTTCTAGGCATTATGAATTGAGTTTTTTTTATTGAACTGCATGGAACGTTCCTCGCTGACAACAAGCCTGATGAAATAAACGGATGAGAGTGTTGATCATTGTACTTTTTTTGAAAGTTTATTTTTTGATAAGTCAGGAATGAGGCATGATGAAATGATTTTAGTACTATAAAAGTACTAAATTTATATATACTCTAGATGATCATATAAATTAAACGTTTGGTGGCACTTCAAAATCATCAGTGTTTCTGGAAGTACCACATTTGTTTTATGTTGACATGTTTTTGAGTAATTTAGAAAGAAAATGAAGTTTGTTATTAAAAATAACAATTAATAATAATAAAAATGTAACATTTTAATTCAATTTTTCACCAGTATTATTTTAGTATTACTTATGTAATATTATAGTATTGATTCATATTTTACTAGCTTTTATTTTTATATGAGTTTTCAGTTTTTCATTTCATTTTTAGTTTAAGTTTTAATAATGTTGTTATGTGCTTTTGCCATTTTATTCATTTTTTAAATAGTTCTATTTAGCTTTCATTTAATTTGATTTCAGTTTAATCTTAGTATTTCAGCTCAAACTTATTTTTATTTTTAGTTATTTATCAAAGAAACATTTAAAAACTATTTTTCTACTATTTTTAAAGGGATTCTTTTGACATATAAGAGGAATACCATTAAAGCATCCTGCAAGTTTCATAGCTTAAAACCTCATTATAAACAAACCATTTTATTTAATCAAGCTCCAAAAATGGCTGGTTTGGATATTGTGGGATCTGTGACATCACATGCGCTAATATATTTGCATGTATGGCTGTGTCTGAAACTCCGCACTGTCTGAGTAGGTACTACATTTGAATTTGAATTTACTTTGTGACCATTTACAAAGTATGTTATATATAGTATGAATATGGGTAGTATGAAGGAAATTCAAGCGCACTACATCCGCCATATTGTTACTGTCACATGACCTACCAGCGTCAGTTGCGTCGCTTCACTTTCATTAAAAATCCTCTCCTGTGGCCTCATGGGATAGTAAAGTGTCTAAACTGTCTATCATATGCAGACTTCAGAATCTCAACTGAAGTAGTAGGTCATCCGGGGACTTTTACGCCTACTGTTTTTCGAACACTATAGCTGTGTCTGAAACCACTCACTCGTTCACTCATTCACTATCCCTATATAGTGTATGGCATTTGAGTGCACTATATCTGCAAGGAGTGAACGAAATGAAGTGAGTGAATTCAGACGCTTCGTCACACGTAGTGATAAAACTCCTTTTATCTTACGTTACTTACTTTATAAAATAATATTAACAACAATAACAATCATAATGACTTTATTTTGTAATTATATATACCTCCGTGCCAGCTTTGTAGTTTCATCATTGAAATTTTGTTCGAAACTCTCACGCTCACAGATGACGTGGTCGTTGAGCGCCCTCAGGCGACCGTTATGATTACATTCGAATGAACAGATGATTAACGAATATTTTTAAATCATCCACCAAATCATCATCCCTTCCTTACAGTTTAACGAATTAACAACAATGCCACAAAGTATTAAAACACCTGGCTTATAGTAAAACACATTAAATTGAGTTAATTTGCTATTAATATCAGTTCATTTTCATTTTAACATTCATAATATTTTCTCAATATTTTAATGTTTTATTCAAGTAATGATTAATAAAAAAAAAAGGAAGAAAAAAAAGCTGTTAGGTAATTTCTGATTTAAACTCGCTGGCTCCCGCACTTTCACGCGCGCTCAGTCCTCTACGCATTGGATTCTGGGAAATAGTGCTTCAGCAAGTGTACATCGGATGTACACTCAAAATCAGAGAGGATTGTGGGTAAAAGTAGTGAGCGAATGTAGGGAATGATGTCGTTCACTTAGAATTCGGACACCACTACAAAATGGCCGACACCCTATATAGTGCACTATATAGTGGATAGGGAGCGATTTCAGACACAGCTTATGTATTCGGACATACTACACTTTTGGCGTACTGTTTTCCGCATACTATACAGTAGAGAATTATTTGATTTCAGAGACAGCATATTTGCATATTTGTACATACCACTGATGGGGGTGGTGCAGGAGGCACATTTCTTGGCGTACAAGTTGCAGAAGCAGTTGAGGCAGTAGGCAAAGTCGTCACGAGAGGTGAAGCGCTGGCCAGACAGCTGTTGCTTACAGCCAGTGCACAAGAAACAGTCCTTATGCCAGGGCTGGTCATGGTACGTCACACCGCCAGTGGTGATGGGCTAGACAGAGAAGGAAGAGATTAAATATGATCAGACTACCAATTTCTGCAGTATACAGTATGCAGATTACCCGTACACTCTAAAAAATGCTGGGTTGTTTCAACCCATGTTTGGGTCAAATGGACAAACCCAATATTTGACCCAAACATGCATGGGTTGAAACAGCCCAAGCATTTTTTAGAGTGTATGCATAGATTAACTGGATTTCTCAAAACGTGCAACACTGCATGGAATACTGTATCCCATAATGGAAAGTGGTCAACTTACAGAATGTGGTGTATTCAATAAGTAGTAAACTAGTATTGCATTTTTTGAGCAGGCCTTTATGCTTAATTAAAGAGTTTCTGGAGTCTTAATAAGTTTCATGTAAGTATGTACTTGGTGTCGCATAGTAAAACATTAAAAAGTTTGTTTTAGTTTCCTTCAACTGTGGAATCTACCTTCTTGCAGTGAATACACTGCATGGCAAACTGCTTTTCGTAGCAGGGCACGCAGTAGTTATAGTTGTCTTTGGGGATGAAGCTTTTGGTGCCAATTGGCTGCTGGCAGCGCTGGCAGGTGAAGCAGGTCTCATGCCAGCTGTTTCCTTTATGCTCCATCTTCCTCGAGCCTGAGGGAGAAGAAGAGAGCCATCTTTCAACAACATTCCAACAACATTCTGCTTATGAAAAGATGATGGAAGAAGTTTGTGCATGCTGTAAAAAATGATCGTGATTTTAACGGTAAAACACTGTAAAAATGCTACAGTGAAAAACTGTTAATTGGTTAACAGAAAGTTTCCTTATTATATACGGTAAATAACTGTGATATATATAATGGTACATTTAATTTAATTTTACTGTAAAATACCGTTAAATTTACAGTTTTTGGAAGTGAAATAGAACAAGTCATTGTATAATTTACAGTGAAAAAATGTAAATTGACATTCCCACAATTCCCTGCGTGACACTTCACATTTGATGTATTTTGTTTTTAAATCACTGTTTCTTCATAATTTTCTTAGTTTTTTTCTAATCAGTTATGTACATTAGGGTTTTATGTTACATTTAATGTTGTTAAATTAATGCTTATTGCATTTTTTAAATTTCAACATGTTACCATGATGGTGTTTAATGTTTGTGTGAATGAGACTGTGCAGCTTCTGTATATTAGTATTAACTCTCTTGTGGATGAGCTGCTTATGATGAGCTTTGGTTGACCATTTGACTCTCATCACTGCTGTGATTGTTGGCTGTCAGTGTATTACAATGGAAAAAAACAGATATTAATACTTCAAAAGGTCAGTATATTAACAATTTATCAGATAATGAAATACGGTTTATCGCTGTAAAATTATATACGGTTAAAAGTTGTAAAACCTAAAACGTTGCTACCGTATTTTTAACAGGAAAACTCTGGTAACCACAGCTGCCAGGGTTTTCCTGTAAATTTAACGGTTTTTTTTTACAGTGCAGTAGGTATAAGTCCTTTTCCAAAATATCAAGTCATGTTAGAATCAGATACGTTCTATGCTCTAATAATTATATACAATTCTAATATCTAGCCCAGATATTTTGTAAAGTACACTACAGTTGAATTGTTTGGGGTTTGAGTGGGCTTCGTTTAATTGTGTCAAAAGTAGTAAAAACAGTACAATTGTAAATTCTGTAAAGCTGAATTTCCAGCATCATTACTCCAGTCTTCAGTGTCACATGACCCTTCAGAAATCATTCTAATACGCTGAGTGTGTGCTCAAGAAACATTTATTATTGTTAGAAATGTTGAGCTGCTTAATGTTTTTCTATAGAAAGTTTAAGAGAATAGCATTTATTTGAAATGTGTATATTTTTGTTACATTATAAATGTCTTTACTGTCATTTTTGGTAATTTAATTCATCTTTCTTGAATAAAATTTTTACTTTCTTTCTTTCAAAACAAAAACTTTGAATGGTAGTGTATGTGTAGACAAACATAAGTTTGATTCATTTTATATAATTGAATGTAAATGAGTATTTATGCATTCATACAGGACTTAATGTCAATTTATTAATTTGCTTAGTTATTTTTTCTTTATCTATTCTGCTTGTTTGCATAAGTGGGCATTTAGTCACATTCAAATGGCTTAGTAGCCTATTTTTTATATAAAATATTTTCATGAATACAGTAAAATTACAAATATGAAAAAAGAAGAGTTGATGCCAAATTCTACATCAACACATTCTATATACAGTAAATAATCTTTACAAGATAACATGTAATATATACAGAGAGTAGTCTATTCTTATCAGATTCAGATATCAAACACTTATTGTGATATTGAATTATTATCATCAGGATTACAGTTCTACAGTCATATCAACTGTAGCGTAACAGCAAAGTTGAGCTGTTAAACAGGCATAATTCTCTTTCAACATATTCAGATGAAAGTTCAATAAATACCAGCAGTGGTGCGGTGTAAACAGACACAGGACAGAGTTTCATTGTTTTAAAAAGGTCCACGTGTTGACATTTTACGTTTTTAAAACATAAAACATACTGGGTTAATGAGAGTCCAACACTTTCACATGGTCATGAGGACCTGTCTTTGAGGATTTATGAATTAATATTTATTACCAGTGTGCAGATCACTTAATCTATTGCTTTGACGTCATTATGGGCCAGTAATATATCGTTATAATGACAGTTACTCTTTCTTCACAAGATCTGGGCAAAGATCGACCCTGTGTGAAAGGAAGCAGTTCTCATTTGCTTTAATGGAAAGAATGTGGTGCTGAATGAATTATGATTTTATGGCAGTGCTGAGTATAAAAGAAAACATCTACTGATATGAGGTAATTTGTTGAACGTTCCTCCCATGGCGAAGAATCTCTTACCAGGCATAATGGTCTTCTTGCAGTCATGGCATTTGGAGGAGTACTCGTTAGAATAGCACTCGGTGCACAGCAGCTGCTCATCTTTAGTGGAGAAGGGCTTGTCCACCAGTGAGCGCTTGCACTGGAAGCAGTGGAAACAGTCCTCATGCCAGTGACGGTCCTTGTAGGACAGATCCTAAAGCAGCCAAAGACGACAGTTCTGGTTGAATTTTATTCATTAACTGTTTCTCTGCAAGTGAGATGAGTAAATGCATGCTCAAGAGAGGTGTCAGATAAATAGGAGAACAAAGTAACTTGCATTACTTATTTGAAAAAGAAACTCATATATTTTGTTGTAAATGTAAAAGTTACTTTACTAGTTACTTGAAAAAGTAATCTGATTACAGAACTTGTAATGCGTTTTCCCCAACAATGGGTAGTAGCTATATGGTGCATTTGATGACAAAACTGAAAAACACTTTCTCGATCTGCAAGCTCTAAACCGATTGGCTGGTTTTATGCAATTTCATATATGTTACCCTGCTGTTGCAGCCGATGGGTTTCTTGCACTCCTCACAGGTATTGGAGTACAGGCTCTCATAGCACTTCACGCAGTATGGGTTCTCCTCACGAAGAACATACTTCTTCCCAAACAGTGACTCCTTACAGTAGTGGCAGTCATAACGCTCTGTCATCTTTACTTCAGCCTTTCAGTCCTGTGATGGAGAGGAGATTTGAGAAAATGCTAGACATTCTGATAAAATGATTGTAATCTGTGTTGATATAGTATTTCTTTGCTGTGAGATATTCAGAGATAATCACAGAAGTCTGAGACCACCTTGAAAATGGAATCCTGTTAATAAAATGTTTTTGATATATTTACAACAAATAAATATTATGACTAAGACATATACTGTACAAGATTCTGCACTATTTTTAGATCACTAATAAGTAAACTTGTGAAATCATTTCCAGATGTTCTTGCTTCCACTGAAACACGAGATGCTTTTTGGATCATTCTCAAATCATGCTGGAGAACAGGATCATCAGGATTTACTTGTGGAATTCATGAAACATTATAGCAGTGTTATTTTAGTATCACATGGTCACACTTTATATCATGGGACTTTAACTACTAGGCACTTACATTCAAATTGTAATAATAACTAGGTACAATGTACTTGTGTTCATGTTGTATTGCAAAACACTTTTGCTGGTATTTAGGTGAGTGGGTTTAGGGACATGTTTGGTGGTATGGGCAGGTTTAAGGGTTAAGGTGTAAGAGAAGGGTCAACAGTCCAATTATAGATGTAATTAATGAAATCGATTTTCAATTTTATTTATGGAACATTTTTACACTTAAAATATTGAGTACATTTTATAGCAGTGAAATAAATTAAATATAGGCTAAGTTAAGAATTAAGTAAAGGGGGGAAAAAGTAGATCTAACTACATTTGGTACCATAACAAATAAAAATGAGTAACCCCAACAAATTAAGTTAACTCACATTTGGAGGGGAAAAAAACATTTGGAATGAAGAAAGAAAGAAAGAAAGAAAGAAAGAAAGAAAGAAAGAAAGAAAGAAAGAAAGAAAGAAAGAAAGAAAGAAAGAAAGAAAGAAAGAAAGAAAGAAAGAAAGAAAGAAAGAAAGAAAGAGAAAATATTTAGAATTAATTGAGAATCTTGTTTAAGAAGATATCAGATGTTGTTAACCATAAGATCAAACCTCAAGCATCAGTCAAGTTCACTCACTGCATGGGCATCAGTGAGGCATCAGTCTGGAATTCCACAGTGCACTACATCATACCATCATAACCAGTCTAATATCTCACATCATACCATCATAACCAGTCTAATATCTCACATCATACCATCATAACCAGTCTAATATCTCACATCATACCATCATAACCAGCCTGTTATCTCACATCATACCATCATAACCAGCCTGTTATCTCACCTCCAGCTTACAGCGTTTATATTGTGTGTCAGCATGTGTTAGTGTGTCTGTGCATGGATGTGGTTATCTATAAACATCATATGAATGGACTTTTTCTGAGAATAATCCATCTGTCCTGTAATAGGCCAGATAAGTCTGATTCTAAAACTCATCGGAAATATCTCTGAACAGTTTGACAGAGAGATTGTGATTTGGACCACATGATTCTTGATATCAGAATGCCATCTACTCACGCAGCTGTCGGAGTCCTGGACCCGTTAAGCCCCTCTGCCTATTGTTCCCATGAGCCCGCCTCAGGGGTCCCCAGTGTCCCGCACACGCTGTCTCCCTGCTATCCCTTTGTGAGTGCGTCTAACTGAGCCCGGGCTTCACTACTACACCAGATCCCCCTCCACAGTTTTACCATAAAAGGTAGCAGATGAAAACCAGGAGAAGCATGCTCTCTTGCTTAAAATCCTTCTAAGAAAATTCTTTGACTTGTCCTTCACACACCCCCCCCCCCCCTCCTCTGCTTCCTGTTTGTCTTGCCCTTTTCTGCTGTCTCACTTCTTCAGGCTTTCTCCCTTTCTCCATCCAACTGGCAAGCCCTCTCAATTCTTTCCATTAGGTTCCTTCTACGTCTTTTCACACTATCAAAATAGCATGCAGGTTTTTTCTGAGCATTTTTTTACTTGAGGAAGTAAGTTGTCCGAGGGTCTAAACACAAGCCTGACAGTGACTTGTCAAGACATTTTTACTAAATGTCACTAAATACTTATATTACTTTTTCTCCCTACATATTGAACCAGATAAATTATCGCCTTGCTTTTGGTACAGACCATAGATAGATGAACTAAAATATCACCGTTTTGTAGTGTATTTTCTATCAATCTCTAGCCCTAGTTTTGTTTTCAAAACTTAAAGTAACTAAAACAATTGTAAATAAAAACAAAATAATTAGGAGCTGAATGTCCTTAAGGGTTACCACTTTTTTTATAACCAATGGATTGAGATGACTCGTCCAGTTCCTCATAATTTACTGGCTATACGGTTTCTAAAGTCAGCATGAAATGGAAGTAGCGATAGTCTTGAAGTCCCCATTCTGACATAAATCTGATTTAAACGGCTTTTTGAACAAGAACAATGTAGACTTGATGTAGACATAGACTTGGTTTTATCCATCAGGAATTGAAGTGGCTCAGCGATTTCAGTGACATCCTCAGTGATGATGGTATAAAACATCTGCGCAAACTGAACCCTACCAAGCACCAAAAGGTAACAAAATATGCTTTATTTTATTCTTCTGGAATTTTTACTCTAATATTAGGAGATATTTATATTATCGCGACAGGTAGAGATCCATCCGTTTTAGATATAGATCCGGTCACAAAAGACCCAAATATGTAAAAATGATTGGCGAAACATTCATGCACTTAACCCTTTCACGCGTACGATCACACCGGTGTGATCAGTCTTGGCTGGTCCCTGGAGCGTACGATCACACCGGTGTGATTAGAACGGTCAGTGCATCACGTGATCTACTGCTAAATTCAAACGTGCTTTCGCGCATTGGCTGGCGCTGAGCCAGAGACAGACGCACTCAGTGCTGTCATATATCACAACTATTGAGTGTTTTCAACCACATAATGTTTATTTTAGGTTTCAGACATTTAAATACACATAAGTACTAGCAAAACAATGATTTTGAGTTTGTAAAATACACACTGATGTCTATGGAAGCGGCTATAATAATCCTTTCCATTACAATAAGACGACACGTTTTATTCATATCAGATACACATTGTGTAAGTAGACGCTATACAACGCTATCTCACGACCAATTCGTACGAATTCGTACGAGTGATTAAAAGATGACTAATTCGTACTAATTCATACGACCTCACTCGTACGAATTCGTACGATTTGTCTAAACCCACGTGATGGGTAGGTTTAGGGGCGGGGTCAGGGGTAGGTCATTTGTACGAATTCATACGAATTTGGTAACTCGTAAAATATGTACGAATTAGCAAAAATCGTACGAATTTGTACGAGTGAGGTCGTATGGAATATATCAGTGTTTCATGCTATAGCTAATACATTTGTGAATATTTTTAATAAAAAAGGAAAAATTACATAAAAGCAGATCATCATTCATTCAGCGCTGTGTTGTGGTTGCGCTGTGTCACGTGACAAGCAATGACGCGTCACCATGGAAACATTAAAGTGACAAGTTCTAAATAACGGTCGCCTTGAAAAACTCACGCTGGGGGGTCAGTTAGAATATTTTAAACTTACGTGTTGCTCTAAGCGATATCACACGTTTTTTAGGCCGAAACATTTTTTTTGTCACATACAGCAAACATCTGCTCACTATCCGCTAGCTGCCTGTCCCCTGAACACACTGTAAAAAAACGTGGTCTCTGTAGACACCCCAGGCTCCACAAACGGCAACAAAAACAAACTGGTCCAACCTGGACCACGAAACATAACAAACAGTGTTCCAGCCAATAACCGACAAGAATGATTTGGGGGTGGGGTTGGGGGGTTAGTGCGCGTGCAACGGAAGGGAGGGGGAGGGGACGGGATGAGGAGGAGGGAGGGTCCAGCTAGCCTCCATTTTGTTTGACAATACTTCGAACGTCAACAAGAAGTGAAGTCATCCAACATCGCTTAGAGCACCTTTAAGGGTCATCAGAAGAGAAGAGAAGAGGGAGGGGGACATTTTGATTAAAGATTGTGAGGGCACAATAATAAAAAAAATAAAATAAAATTGTGCATGGATAAATAATTTATAATAAATATTACAATATTCCATAAAAAAAATAAGTGTCATTTCATTTCATTGGTGACTTTAAGGAATATATTTTATACATATATAATTATATAATTATATCATTATATAATATATAATAAAAATTTTTAGAGCTTGGAATAAGTATATTAAAAGGTAATGTTCATTATAAAAATACCAGTGGCGTTAAGATTTCCAGTTCTACAAATCACACTTTTAAAATTAGGCTACCTCATAGAGCCAAGTTTTCCAAGACTGTGGGAACTGTGAACTCTAGTTCTTATTTTCATTTCAATAAATTATTTCAAGTCATCTTAAGGCACTTCTGTTAGCTGTCTAATCCAGGGCTGTTTCGGAAATGTGCTGACACTTTTGCCTTAGACTTATCTACTGTAAAATGTAGGGTAACACTTTTATTTCAATGGTCCACTTTAGACATTATACTAAGTAACATTGCAACTACATGTCAACTAACTCTCATTAGAGTATTAGTAGACTGTCTGCTTAATATCTGCTAACACTTTATTGTTGATGCTCCCCCAAAAGACATTCTACTGACTATAAGCAACTTTGTAGTAGTTAGTAATAGTAAGAGCAACTTAGTTGACATCTAGTTGCAAATTAATGAGAGTTAGTTGACATGTAGTTGCAAATTAATGAGAGTTAGTTGACATCTAGTTGCAAATTAATGAGAGTTAGTTGACATGTAGTTGCAAAGTTACTTATAGTTAGTAGGATGTCTAAAGTGGACCAGCAAAATAAAGTGTAACCAAATGAATGAAGCAAAAAGGATGTCTAACAACCAAAACAGGTATAGACTCGAGATAATAAAAACAAGATAATTAAGGTTTATGGGATTGAACAATTCTTGATTTGGATTATCACGATCCCATGATGTGCAACAACAGTGATGCGCTAAGGCCAACAAAAGAAAACATTGGTTAGAGAGAAAGCTTTTTTTATT